CCCTGTGACTGGGTGACGGGCAGCCCGGATGGAGGAGATGAGGGAGGAGGAGCAGGTTTGGGAGGGGAATTAGAGATGTGATTCTCAGGTGGGGTGTTGAGGTTTCTATTAGACATGAAGGTGGACCTGTTGAGTATAATTTGGACATGTGAGTTGAGTCAGGGCTGAAGTGGGAGTGGAGATAGAAGTTTTTTGGGAACAGTGATCCCTGACGCCATGGTTTCCTGTTGTCTCCCCTCTGCTCTGCCACCACCTCCCACTGCAGAGCTGGAGCCCAGGTAAACCCCAGACCACAGAGCCATTCCCACTTTCACCCCAGAGCTCTGACCCGGGAGCCCAGGAGTAAAGCCTCCTGCCTTATACAGCCTGTTGTGTTACCACCCTCCGGACACATACAATACACCGCATATGCATGTCTGCATCCTAGTGTGTGTGCATGTCCATGCAACATACAAAATATCCATGCACAATATAAACACCGACACATATGCATCACACACACATTTTGAACAAATCTTCACTCTCCCAATGCACAAGGTATTATTCCAGGCTTCCAGTTACTCAGAGGGCAACCTATAGAAGCTACAGCAGCCTGAGGTCCCCACAGGGGAAATGACGTCCCCCCAACCCCACGGGTGTTGAGGTGACCATTAGACATCCAGGTGGATCTGTTGAGTAGCAGTTGAATGTGTGAGTTGAATTCGGGGCTGACGTATGACCAGAGATAGAAGTTTCCAGACTGCACATGGGAACGGTACACAGAGCACAGTGATCCTGAGGCCATGGTTTTTCATCTTCCCTTTGCTCTGCCACCACCTCCCTCTGCAGAGCTGGGGCCCAGGTAGAGCACACACACACACACACACACACACTCTTCTCATGGGGTGAGCATGAGTAAGCAAATCCCTAAGCAGAGCTGTAGCTCCAGCCGGGGCCTCTGCAGCTCCCGGCTCTGACCACAGAGTCATTTCCATTTTTACCCCAGGGGTGAGCTCTGACCCCAGGAGCCCGGGGGGGGTGAAAGTGTAACTCACCAAAGATTTGAGCCCAGGCACAAACCCCCTCCCCTATCGACACCCATGCGGACCAAATGGCCACACAGGCCCTGAGTGGTGGGACAGAAGTCTGGGGGTTGGTAGGAAAACAGTGGTCACAAATCGGGAACAGGATGGCCCTATATAAAGTCATGGGGAAAAATGAACAAAGAAATGAATTCCAGAGAAGCTTCCAGGCTAAATGACCACTGTTGGATGTTGGCGTGGAATGAGGGCAAAGAAAAAGAGGTCCATGGGCCTCAGTGAAGATGGGCTGTGTCAGTATTCCAAGCTTAGCAGCTCCATGCCCTTTAGCTGGACACACAGACAGATTTCCTTAAACCAGCAGCATCGCTGGGTGTCCACAGTCCCATAAAGGAGAAGGATCAATGACGGTGGATGATCAACTAGACGATGTACATTAATATCATGGAGCACAGTCGCAGACACTGACCATCAGAATGTTCATTAGATTGAAAAAGTATTCACAGCTCATTATGTAAAATGAGTAAAATCCGTGAATCCTCTAATGACATTGGTGAAGGGACAGACACCAAGGCTCAATAGTGTAATCACTTGGCCCTTCTCCCCTGTCTTGTGTCTTCTCTCTCCCTCCCTGGCCTCCCCTGCAGTTCCTGATACTCATGTGTCTGATTCCAGGGGAGAACTCTGAGGCTGGCGCCCCCACCGGCTTAGGGGAGGGGAAAAGGCAGCTCCTGGAGGAAGTGGTGGGAAACTGCTCCTATAAGGTCAACAACCACTTGGACCACCTGTACAAAGCAACAACCACTTGGACCATCTGTACAAACCACGGCCCACAGAGGAGATGCTCAGATCTGGGAAGGAGCTGGTTGGTAAGGAGATGGAGTACAGTGTTCTGAGCAGGAACTGTGAGCGCTTTGTCACGGATCTGAGATATGGCAGGGCCCACAGCCGGAAGGTAAGACCCGTCTGGAGAGCTCCCTCTCCCTTCTGGAGGTCTGCTTAGGGTGGGGGTGACAGAGATGACTACCCAGAAGATAAAAATACCACAAAGGATGCAAATATATGCTCCCTGCCTCCTGTTGACTGGGAGTCAGGATGTCTGAGATCAAATCTCAGGTCTGTTCCTGATCCACTCAGGGTCTTTGAGCAGGTCACTTCCTCTCTGGCCTCAGTTTCCCCAAGTGCAGAAGGAGGGATGTTGGAGGACCTCTGGGGCTCTGGCCACCTCCATCCCTTTAGGATTCTTTGCCTCTAAGACCCACCCTACAGGCAGCTCCTGATGCCCTGTGTGTTGTCAGGGAAAGGGTGGGCCAACCCGGGACCATGACAGGTCTCCTAAGGCCCCAGAGAGCCCTCGGGCAAGAGATGATCAAGGTCAGTGGCCCATGTAAGAGCTCAAGAACATTATTATGAAAGATCTGGACACACTTTTAACCCATCCCTTTGCCCCTCTTCTAAATTATTTTTCCAAATACACAGCTAGTTAAGAGGCAGAAGCAG